CACACAAACACACACACACAGGTGTAACTACCTGTATTTGGACATTCAAACAGGACAACGAAGGGCTCTCTTTCGAGGACGTCTACATCTTCTTTTTCTTCGTACTGGTAGGACTCGAGCATCCTCACCTCATCCTCTCTGAGACACACACACACACATTTTGGTATATATTTCTTACATTTATTTTTTTCCTTTAATTATTTGTTTATAGATATATTTGTGAGTTAACAGGATATCTATAAAAGCCATTAAGAATTTCAGGTGTTTGGTCCAATAGCACCAACATGTTATCGTTTATATCTTGGTTGAAAAGTGTTGAGCAGACACTGTACTCAGTTAATTACTTTATACCTGTAGAAGAAGACAAACTGCTCCCTGTAGGAGCCTCGTCCCAGAAAGACACTGGATCTCATGCTGTACGAATGTTGTCTGTTCCTTCAATCAAAAGACAGAAACAACAGGAACTGAAACTTTTCTAGACAAATTTGTGAGTGAATACATTTGAAACTGTTTAAATTGTTCTACATGCACTTTTGACTCCAGTATTTTGACTTGTTTGACAAAGATTTGTATTGAAATTAATATCCACAGGTATGTTTTCATTAGTGTAAAATCATTGTTGTGTTTTTGTTAGCTTAGAATGACTCGTTTTTATCCAACTATTGAACTACCATGTTTCTACAGTAGCCCAGAACGGACAAACCCAACTTTGACTCTTGCACAGTTTTGCCCCCACGCTTGGAAAGGGAGGGCAAATCCTACACACTGGACCTCTAAGCAGCTATGAATTCTGGGTAAATTAAGACTAACTCCCATGGGACGTACAGGTCTTACCCATAGTTGTTGAGGTCCGTGAGGAACTTGCCCATGGACCTGCCGCCGTGACCCATGACCTCCAGCATCACCACCACACTGTACCGAGACACAATCTGCAACAACCAACACACACTAAAATAAATCTGCATTAAACACAGCGCAAATATAGAATAGAAAACAATAGAATAAGAGCAACAAGAATACAGTTTGAATTGTCATATTAGGAATAATACAGGTGTTACTAATAACATTAACATTGGTTTTGTTCTATTTGAATGTCCCAGGAAGTCGTGACAGTAAGCCAGTATGAAACTACAGCTGCTAAATGGAATAAATATTACCAAAATGTCTTTAGTGAAGAATTTCAATCCTAAATCAGTAGAAATATTTCAGATAAAGAACCAAATACAGTAATATTATTAAAGCATTAGTGTCACACAGTGTAAAATATTGAAAAGAGGATTTTATATGATGATAATACAAACAAACAAACAAAGCCCCTTTCATTGTATTTTCACACACATGACAAAAATTGGAAATCTCTATACAATTATATATAATAAATTAAATGAATGAATTATGACCAGCAGAGTTACCTTTATAAGATTTGTCCGAACAGTCTCATTGTTGATTTTATTCCATCCCAGTCTCTGGACATTGAAGGCTGCGATATTCATTTTTACTATAAAGACAAAATTAAACAGGACTTAATGTCTTTAGACACGTTAGCAGCTTTGTGAGGTTGTACTTGAGCTAAATGCTAATGTTAGCATACTCCTTATTATATAATGTATTTAATATTTCTTTAAAGAACATTAAGTGTAATAGTCTTTCCTTTCTTTATTATTTATCTCGAGAGGCCGCAAATGTTTGTCCATGTAAAAAATTGGATTAATAGAATAATAGATGGAAAGTTAATTGTTGAGATATTTCAGGAAAAATAATCAGGATTCATCCTTTAATATCTAAAAAAACAGAGCCAATCCATCAGGTAAAAGTTGAGATATTTCTCTGAATAAGTGAAACATTGGAGGGAAGATCAGGCGTTTCATTTGGATCATAAAGATCTGCACCAATTTTAATTTCAGTCCAGAAAGTAGCTGTTGAGATATTTCAAAGTTGTGAACCGACTGACCGACTGACCATGGAAGCACACTGCTGTCATGGCAACAAAAACAAAAGCTTTTCTAAGCGGGAAAATATGAGATTGAACAAGAAGGAAATGGGACATCAGATGAAAAAGAGGAAATGAAAGCAGAAAAGCCACATCTGAGAGTTTTAGCTGCACCTGAAAGCATCACATTACTTTCTTTATATTGTTGTAATTTGGTTACATTGAACATTGATTATTATTGAAACTTCTGCATGTTGTTATACATTTATGTGTTTAAGTGAATAATACTTTTGACATCCAGACATGTAAACACACACAAATAATGTACTTTTACACTAAAAAAACTATATAGATGCATAAATCTAAATTATCTGCAAACATATTAAACAGACATCCTCCTTTATCTGTTCAAGTAAATGTACATTACACCTGAAATCCTGAAGAAAAAAACAAGTTAATGTGTAAAATACATAAAAGAAGGAGAGAATAAAAGTGAAGTTCAGGTTTAAATAAAAACTGAACATAATTTTATTCATTAAAATCAAATATAGGTCAGTCCGGCAGGTTTCCTGCCAAATCTGCCCACACAATGGACATAAAGTCAGATAGATTAAATCTCTAATAAATTAACACTTTCAACACTGAATTGTAATAATAAAGAAACAAACTCACCGATCTGGTTGAGATGAAAACTGAAATATTAAAACAACAGAGAGCAGCAGAGGTTGTTTCTGCGCCGGTTGGACGGACGAGACTAAAAGTTCCTACAGCAAACAGTCTTATAAGAGAGAGTGTGAGACAGCGAGAGAGAGAGAGACAGGAAGTTTGTTGGCAGCCGAGACGTTGGCGCCAAAACACACAATGATGGCCGGTCCATAACAACAGTTTCTCTCACTGAAGTGTTTAATTTAATCCATTATTTGGTTCCCAATCTCACTTAATACAAAAACAGCTGAATCTGTTTGAAATTATTTCTTCGTCCTGTTTCAGGGAATTGTTTCACTAAAGAAACTCTTCTTAAGGGTTCAGTTAAATAACAGTTTGAGGCTTAAATCACTCAATAATTCAGGAAAAGGCAAGAAATGAAAAATAAATCACATCACAACCCTTCAGATTTATCTGGTGACCTTCCAGAGGGTCCCAACCCTCAGTTTTGGAACCACTGGTCTTTAAACTTACTGTATAAAGCCTATATAAAACTAAAAGACTGTATAAAACTAACTCCACGGT